TGTAGGTTCAGTCACTTGACTTAAGTAACAATCGCCTAAAGAGCTTGGATGGTTTTAAGGACCTTGCAAAGGAAACATCAAACTTAAAGCATATCAAGATCTCCAATAATCAAGTCAGTACTATTATTTCCAAGGAGTTTGTAACTATTGCATATTCATTGTGTTTGGGTGATCTTGGGGACATGTAGATAATGTGCTTTCTTTGTTATTCCTGGTTCAGCAAAAGAACTTTGCAGAAAGTCACAGAAACTCTGGCTCAATTAAGTCTTTGGTTAGAATTTGTTCAAACGAATTTTATTTTAATTTCCTTTGCTTACTTTTACATGTTTATCCTTGTGTGAAACAATTGGAATTCTGAATCCAATTGGCTTGAAAAATTTGAAGCCAAGAAAAGAAAAGTGTCGTAAGATACATCAAAAAGAAAAACTTGGTCCAAAAAATTTCAGAACCGTGTTTCTGTGGTCGAAGAAAATTTATGTCTTAACAACTCTCCATCATTTAATAGTTAATAGTGTTTTAGAAGCTTTTTAAAGATTGAATCTACCTGTATTAGAAGCATCGCACTAAAAAATAAATTGCCATTTTTGAGAACTGTTTCTCATCCTCTAGCATGAGCTTGTTGAATCCAGTTGACTAATCTAATGTGAAGTTGTATAACTGCACAGAAGAGTGGAAAGTGCCACATGTTACATTGTAGAAGTAGGATTTATTCACAGATTTTAAATTCTTGCAGTTAAGAGCTGTAGAAGAACTGGACAAGATAAAGTCCTTGAGTCAGCTCCAAACCATTGCACTTGATGGCAATCCTCTTTGCGATATATTTCAAGACAAACAAAGTTCGTATACCAGGTGTGTCTTGCCTGTCCATCGCTTTACGTTTACATGTAACTACAAATGGCAGTAAGTTTTTCCACACATGCACAAATGTGCAACCCTCGCATGGTCAGTGCTCTAAGGTGCTAACATTTCAGTTTCATGACAAGAAGAAAAAAACATTGCCAATCAGATTTCTAGAGAAAGTTGCCAAATTGTTGAGGTGGTTAGGTTGTGGTATTGGGATACTAGGTAAAACACCTCACTTTCCAATAACATACATTTAAATGGGCACCAGCAAATTGTTAGGGAAGCCTTATTAAATGCTGGGCCCAT